TGGGTGACCCGCAGTGCTGCAATGAAAGCCGGGAACACATTTTGGTAGAGAACCTTGAATGTGTTTACAGCCATAAAATGTGTTTTGATTTGTCATTAGGAGTGCGGAGACTCATAAATTGTGCTCAAAAATGTTGTATCTTTAAAAGCTAAAAAAAAAAAAATGAAGAAGAAAGAAGACTATTCATTTTTTAATGCTAGACGTTCTTCTATCCTAATAGCCCATATTTTATGTTCTTTCCTCACATTTAATAAACAAAAAGTGCAACGGCTATTTTGAAATTCTAGAGCTGTCCTGAAACGCCGCCTTCAAGTCATTTAATATTCTGAGGGGGAACGTGTCCACCGCTGTGGCAAACTTTCTGGAAATGATGAGTAACAGTTTTAAGGAGGAGCAGTAATGGCGCGTTCACTCTCACAGTAGCAGAGATTCAGTAGTGATTAATGAAAACAAATTTTTCATGGCAATTAAAATGATTAAAGCCGGAGGGCTTTTTTGCTTTTACCCTGAATTGCTCCAGGAACAAGGCGGCAACAAAGCTACGAACCAAAATTGCATTAGTAGTGGAGGAGAACTGTATTAAAATGCAAATGTACAGCTGTTAATAGTTCTTCAAAAACCAATAATCCCCCACAGTCAGTCATGTGTCAGAATGGTTAATGGAAAAATATCCCAGAGGCACACAGGGTCCTTTTCCATTCGGCTTCTGATTAAAACAGAAATTCTGCAGAGGCAAAAGCAGAGCTCGGAGTGGGATGGGATCGGCTGGGATGGCTTAATTTTGGGCAGGAGACCAAAACCCATTGTTCGGAATTTCCCTGACTTTAAGGCATGCTTTGTCCCCCCTGGGACGGCTGTGAAGTGCTAAGCAGGGAAAGAAAGCTACTAAATCTGATCTGGAGGTATTAAAGCTATTTATCATGTAGGTGTTTAGCGCATAATCCGTACTGAGCAACATCTGAATTAAATACACGTGATAGTCATGCCCCTCTGTGCGATGGAATCGGACGAAGGAGGGGGTGGGTGAAGGCATCATAATTGAATAAATACTGCGTTTGGTTATCCTGTCACTTAATTATGATTCTGCCGCAGGTTATGTTACAGAGATCGAAGTGTTGTTGATATCTTTGCATAACAATTTTTTTATTTCACAGTTTTTTTTTAAGTGAATGTTTTTAAGTGAATATTTATATTAGATACATAAGTCTTGTGGTTTTCAGTCACAGCATAGCAGTTTCAAAGGTCTAACAATCATAAAGCAGTATAAAAATACCCAAAATATATTGATTTGATGCACTGGTCTATTGCTATAATGTTTAATTTTCTTTGTTAAATTAGACAGGCAGAGACAGATCATATAGACAGATCATATAGACAAATAGATAGATAGATAGATAGATAGATAGATAGATTTGAGTGTGTAATGTGTGCCAAACAGGGCCCTAACAGTGTATTACCTCATCTTTTAGTTTGATTAGAAAGAGAAACATTTAAAGGGGTCATATGATGCTATTTCAATTTTTCCTTTCTCTTTGGAGCGTTACAAGCTCTTGGTGCATAAAGAAGATCTGTAAAGTTGCAAAGACTAAAGTCTCAAATCCAAAGAGATATTCTTTATAAAAGTTAAGTCTTGTCCACGCCCTCCTAAAACGCCTCGATTAAACACGCCCCCACATGTCTACATCACT